TTAGGAAATGTTTACAGGAGAAGGGGTTACTAGCCCATTGCTCCCGGCATTTTAGTCACCTAATACGACACGCATGGCTTACGGAGGAAAGATTCTTTTCCACTTCCCCATGGACAATAGAAGAAACAAAGAAGAACAAGAGCTATTTAGAAAAAGGAGAAAAAATCTAGATGTATGTATATATATATGCATGTGCATGTCTGTGAAGTGTGACCAAACTGTAAGTAGGAGTAGCAAGATATCCCTGTTATCTAGTGTGTTTATGAGACAGAAAAAGACACCAGCAATCCTACCATCATGTAAAGCAGTTACAGGTTTCTGTTTCAGTCATCTGGCAGGAGGGTAGTACTTCCCTGGGTGGTTGCTGTCTACCAACCTACTACTAGCTAACTGGTTACCCTGAATCCCTTCATAAAAGTTATCTCGTTCACACTCCAACAGCACATCAAGTCATAAAAAACCACTTGCCTCCACTCATTCCTATATAACATGCTCACACATCCCTGTAGGATATCCAAGCCCCTCACATACAAAACCTCAATTACCCCCTCCCTCCCTTCATCTTTTTCTAGGACAGCCCCTACCCTGCCTTCCCTCCACTACAGGTTTATACACCCTCCAAGTCATCCAATTTCTATTTTGCTTCATCCTCTCTAAATGTCCAAAGCACCTCAAAAACCCCTTCTCAGCCCTCTGGATAATACTTTTAGCAACGCTGCATCTTCTTCTGATATCCAAACTACAATTTCTCTGTGTAATATTCACACCACACATTACCCTCAGGCACATTTCCAACGCCTTCAACCTCATCACTGCAATGTTTAAAATCCTTGGTTCACACCCACATAGGAGTGTTGGTACCACTGTACTCTGATGCATTCCCCTTCTTAGCTTCCATGGATAAGGTTCTTTGTCTCCACAGATGCCTTTTTCCCTCGTCAATTCTATGGTTCGCTTCATCTTTCATATACCCATCTGCTAACAAGTCCACTCCCAAATAACTAAATGCATTCACTTCCTCCATACTCCCTCCCTCCAATCTGATATCCAATCTTTCATTACCTCAACTTTTTTGTTAACTTGCTCCTTCCTGTGTTCACTTTTTAATTTTCTTCTTTTACATACCCTTCCAAATTCATCTACCAACTTTTGTAATTTCTCTTCAGAATCTCCTAAAGGTAGAGTGTCATTGGCAAAAAGTAGCAGTCACAACTTTGTATTTGATTCTTTATCTTTTAATACCACACCTCTTGCCAACACCCGAGCATTAGCTTCTCCCACACTCCATGTATAAATATGTTAAACAACCATGGTGACTTCACACATTCTTGTCTATTTTTACTGGAAATTAATTTTTCTCTCTCCTACACACCCTAACCTGAGCCTCACATCCTCATAAAAACTCTTCACAGCATTCAGTAACTTACAACCTATCTCATGCACTTGCAATATCTGCCATATTGTTCCCCTATCCATCCTATCATATGCCTTTTCTAAATCCATAAATACAACAAAAACTTCCTTACCTTTATCTAAATATTGTTCACATATATGCTTCAATGTAAGCACTTGATCTACACATCCCCTACCCTTCCTAAAACCTCCCTTGTCTATCTGCGATCTTGCTCTCCAGTTCATCCTTAATTCTTTCAATAATAACCATAATATACTTTACCTGGTATACTCAGTAGGCTTATTCTCCTACAATTTTTACATTCTCTTTATCCCCTTTTTCTTTATACAAATATATGGAATAGGAGGTAGGTTATTGAAAGCAGTGAAGAGTCTTTATAGAGTATGTAGGTGAGAGGGAGATTATTTCCCAGTAAAAGTAGGCCTTAAACAGGGATGTGTGATGTCACCATGGTTGTTCAATATATTTACAGATGGAGTTGTGAGAGAAGTGAATGCTCGGGTGTTGGTAAGAGGTATGGGGTTAAAAGATAAAGAATCTAACAGAAAGTGGGAGTTGTCGTAGTTGCTCTTTGCTGATGACACTGACTTTGGGAGATTCTGAAGAGAGGTTGCAGAGGTTGATTGATGAGTTTGGTAGGGTATGTAAAAGACGAAAGAGGAAAGAGTAAGGTGATGAGGATAACCAAAAAATTAGGTAAGGTGTTATGAAGAAAAGATGGGATTACCTGGGGGCTAGAGCCTTGTCTAAGGGCAAAGGTGAAAGTTACACCCATCTCAGGCAGAATCAGGCCACCTAGGCCTATCCCAGTCAAAGCAGAAAGTGCTAAACCAGTATTTGTACTTCAATGGGTTGGTTAACAGAGGGTTAGGCAAAAATCCTAGTTAGGAAAATACATGTATATATATTTATTCGTCATAACACTATATACACACTCTAGAAAATCCCTTCATATACAGTATCTCCTATCCTAAATGCCCAAACAGCGGAGCACAAGAAGAGGGTGGCTGGAGAGTCCCGGAAAACAAACACTTAGCCTAGCCACGCCAGGCCTTCACTACTCCAATACTGACCCCATTCCTTATTTCCTCACTCATCCCACAGCATCCTGACCATGTCTGAGCCTAGGTGAGCATACAGGTACACCATAGAAGAGCCTATGGCCTGAGTTAGCTAAACAAAAGGAGTACACAACTACAAAACTTAGCTTAAACACACGGTGTCTCCCACGCCAGCCTCCATGCCATGCTGACCACACATAATTACCCAAGCCATGCTTACCCGATAACCAAAACACTGAGAAAATAAATCCCTGGCAGGATTTCATTACATTTACAGTTTAACATGCTTTACAGTACCCCCAAATGCACATTATGAATTATAAAATTATGCTTTACAATTATGACATTCATACTATTATGGCACCCTTCTCTACTGTATATACATTACAATGTCATGCAGAACCCTGCATAACAAAGGGAAGAGTGAATATCAGATTGGAAGGAGAGTATGGAGGAAGAGAATGTATTCAGATATTTGGGAGTGGACGTGTCAGTAGATGGGTCTATGAAAGATGAGGTGAATCATAGAACTGTGGAGGGGAAAAAGGTGAGTGGTGCACTGAGGAGTCCTTGGAGACAAAGAACTTTATCCATTCAAGATTCCTTTATTTCCTTGCAAGTTTACAATGAGGTTGACGTATTTTAGGAAGTTTATTTACGTAGGTAGTTTACAGTGAGGGTTTACAATAATTTGTAGTGCAAAGAGAGCCACTATCATGCCTTGCCATTACGGGCAGTCTAAACTTAACCCTTAAACTGTCCAAACATAGATATACATTTGCTCGTGAAGTGCTCTGAATGTAGATCTACTTTTTTTCACATAAGAATGTAAAATCGAATATAGATCTACATTTGGAGCACTACACGAGCAAACGTATATCTACATTTAGACAGTTCAAGGGTTAATATGTATGAGAATGTATGAGAGTATAGTTATACCAACGCTCTTGTACGGGTGTTACTGAGGCATGGGTTGTGAATGTTGTAACAAGGAGAAGGCTGGAGGCAGTGGAGATGTCATGTCTGTGGGCAATGTGTGGTGTGAATATAATGCAGAGAATCCATAGTTTGGAGATTAGGTGGTGTGGGATTACAAAAAACTATTATCCAGAGGGCTGAGGAGGGGTTATTGAGATACGTAGTTTGGACATGTAGAGAGGATGGAACAAAACAGATAGACTTTGAAAGTGTATAAATCTGTAGTGGAAAGAAGGCAGGGTAAGGGTCGGCCTAGGAAAGGTTGGAGGGAGGGGTTAAAGAAGGTTTTGTGTGTGAGGGGCTTGGACTTCCATCAAGTGTGTGTGAGTGTGTTAGATAGGAGCAAATGGAGACAAATGGTTTTTAGGACTTGACATGCTGTTGGAGTGTAAAGCAAGGTAACATTTATGAAGGGATTCAGAGAACTGGCAGGCTGGACTTGATTCCTGGAGATGGGAAGTACAGTGCTGGCACTCTGAGGGAGGGGTGTTAATGTTGCAGTTTTATAAATGTAGAGTAAGCATGCCTCTGGCAAGACAGACTGAGTGAATGATTAAAGTTTTTCTTTTTAGGCTATGCTGCCTTAGTGGGTAATGGTTGATGTGTTAAAAAAAAAAAAAAAAAAAAAATTATGCATGCTCTCTGCAGGTCCTTAGGTACCTTCATCCTTATCATAAATTTATTGAACAAATGCACCAACCACTCAAAAACTATATCCCCACCTGCTTTTAACATTTCTTTCTTTAACCTATCAGTCCCAGCTGCTTTACCCCTTCACATTCTACCTTCAGCCTCACATCTCTCCCACTCTCACATCTGGCTCTTCCTTACTTCTAAAAGATGATTTACCTCCCTGCCCAATGCATGAAATAACTGCCTCCTCTTCAACATTTGACAGCATTTCAAAATATTCCCTCCATCTTCCTAATACTTCCATCTCCCTAATAACTCCCTGCCTATGTTCATAGCTGTTGAATCCATCTGTTCCCTAGGCTTTCTCAACTTACTAATCTCACTCACGAACTTTTTCTTGTTTTCAATAAAACATGGCAAAACCTCATCCACTCTTTCATTTGCTCTCCTTTTACACTCTCTCAAGACTTTTAGCCTTTCTTTTACTCTAAATATGCTCCACTCTCGTTATGTCACTTCTGTTTTGTAAAAAGCCTTCAAGTGCTAACTTTTTCTCCTCTACCATTCTCTTTACTTCATCATTCCACCCCTCGCTCCTCTTCCCTCCTGCACCCACCCTCCTATATCCACAAACTTCTGCTGCACATTAAACACTGCATTATGAAATCTACCTCAACTTATCTCTCAACTATATATGCTTGAAGGAATAATATATTGCAATATGTATATCATATTTTGTAACATGACAGCAAGCAAATCACTGAACAGGTGGGGACTGAACCTATGGCAAGTGGGTCATACAACTCCAGCCAGTTTTAAGACTCACTTGCCATGGGTTCAATCTCCACTTGTTCTGTTGTTCATCATATTTTAATTGCATTACTGCTTTATGATACTGTACTGTACATACAAACCTGATTCTGAGTACCTGAAGCTTTCTAGAAACTTGAGACATTCCTCAAGTCCTGCAAATATTGTAAACTCGCCATGGAAGGGATTCTTGCGGAAGAAGAGATCAAACACAGCAGTGTCATCATGCTTGCCAGACTTCCAGTAGGCATAGGCCATGTTTATCTGGTACATATCTGAAACAGTTTATAGGGTTAAGACAGAAGGTTTAAAGGTCAAACACTGTGGAGACACTGAATGAATAACAGTGAAAGTTTCCTCTTTTTCAGGTCACCTTACATCAGAAGATGACCAGCGAGTTTAAAAAAAGTACTAATTATTAATACATAAATGATAGGAAATCCCTCTCAAATTGCTGAAAATAAACTGTTTTACAAGTCTCACAAGCTAAGCAGTAACCATTAGCTCTTTGACTGTTTCAGTCGTATATATACGTCTTATGAGCCACCGTTTTTGACGTATATATATACAGTGGACCCCAGGTATTCGATGGCATCGGTATTCGATAAATCCGGTATTCGATGCATTATATCGCAAAAAGTTTTCCTCGGTATTCGATTGAAAACCCGGTATTCGATACGATTCGTACGAGACGTGTCCACATGTGGCCTGAACTGCCCCGTGTGTGCCAGTGTTTACAAGCCAGCCAGTGTGCGCGCATCTAAGGATACATTCGGTACATTCCATATTATCCATATTATCACTGTGTTTGGTGCTTGTTTCTGCAAAATAAGTCACCATGGGCCCCAAGAAAGCTTCTAGTGCCAACCCTTCGAGAAAAAAGTCGCTAATGACTTATGAAATGAAGAAAGAGATAATTGCAAAGTACGAAAGTGGAGTGCGTGTGTCGTAGCTGGTTAGGTTGTATAATAAACCCCAATCAACCATCTCTACTATAGTGACCAGGAAAACGGCAATCAAGGAAGCTGTTCTTGCAAAAGGTGCAACTGTGATTACAAAACAGCGACCGCAAGTGTTAGAAAATGTTGAGAGATTGTTACTGGTGTGGATAAATGAAAAACAGATAGCAGGAGATGGCATCTCTCAAGCGATCATTTGTGAAAAGGCTAGGCAGTTGCATGATGATTTGATAAAGAAATTGCCTGCAACTAGTGGTGATGTGAGTGAATTTAAGGCCAGCATAGTTTGAAAGATTCAAGAATCGTAGTGGCATACATAGTGTGATTAGGCATGGTGAGGATGCCAGTTCGGACCAAAAAGCAGCTGAAAAATACGTGAAGGAATTCAAGGATTACATAGACAGTGAAGGACTGAAACCTGAACAAGTGTTTAATTGCGACGAAACAGGCCTGTTTTGGAAGAAAATGCCAAGCAGGACCTACATTACTCAGGAGGAAAAGGCACTCCCAGGACATAAGCCTATGAAAGACAGGCTTACTCTTCTCATGTGTGCCAATGCTAGTGGTGATTGCAAAGTGAAGCCTTTATTGGTGTATCACTCAAACTCCCAGAGTGTTCAGGAAAAACAATGTCCTCAAGGCTAATTTGTGTGTGATGTGGAGGGCAAAAAGTAAAGCATGGGTCACTAGGGACTTTTTCTATGACTGGTTACACCAAGCACTTGCCCCCACTGTGAAAAATTACCTAACTGAAAAGAAATTAGGCCTTAAGTGCCTCCTGGTATTAGACAATGCCCCTGGTCATCCTACAGACTTGGCAGAGCGACTTTGTGGAGACATGAGCTTCATTAAGGTCAAGTTTTTGCCTCCTAATACCACTCCTCTCCTGCAGCCCATGGACCAGCAGGTTATTGCAAACTTCAAGAAACTGTACACAAAAGCTCTGTTTGAAAGGTGCTTTGTAGTGACCTCAGAAACTCAATTGACTCTAAGAGAGTTTTGGAAGGATCACTTTAATATCCTCAATTGTGTAAACCTTATAGGTACGGCTTGGGAGGAAGTGACTAAGAGGACCTTGAACTCTGCTTGGAAAAAACTGTGGCCAGAATGTGTAGACAAAAGGGATTTTGAAGGATTTGAGGCTAACCCTGAGAACCCTATGCCAGTTGAGGAATCCGTTGTGGCGTTGGGGAAGTCCTTGGGGTTGGAGGTTAGTGGGGAGGATGTGGAAGAGTTGGTGGAAGAGGACAATGAAGAACTAACCACTGATGAGCTGATAGATCATCTTCAACAGCAAGAGGCCACACTTGAGGAAACTGCTTCGGAGGAGGGGATAGAGAAATTGAAGAAGTTGCCTACTTCAAAGATTAAGGAAATGTGTGCAATGTGGCTTAAAGTGCAAACCTTTTTTGATGACAATCACCCTGACACAGCTATTGCAAGCCGTGCTGGTGATTATTACACTAACAATGTTGTGAAACACTTCAGGAATGTCATAAAGGAACGGGAGGTACAGGCCACTATGGACAGATATGTTGTGCGACAGAAATCCAGTGACTCTCAAGCTGGTCCTAGTGGCATTAAAAGAAGAAGGGAAGTAACCCCAGAAAAGGACTTGCTACCTCAAGTCCTAATGGAAGGGGATTCCCCTTCTAAACATTAACACCTCTCCCCTCCTCCCATCCCATCAATCATCACCAGAATTCATTAAAGGTAAGTGTCAATTATTTTATTGTTATTGTAATTATTCTATTGCATTAAACTTAATATTTCATGTAGTAAAAACTTCTTTTTTCATACTTTTGGGTGTCTTGCACGGATTAATTTGATTTCCATTATTTCTTTTGAGGAAAATTGATTCGGTTTTCGATATTATCGGTATTCGATGAGCTCTCAGGAACGGATTAATATCGAATACTGGGGGTCCACTGTATATACATATATACATGTACTCATAAATTCTAGCGACTTCAAATCAAGTAGGAGAAAGATGGTAGGACCACATGTGAGAGAATGGGTCTGTGTGGTCGGTGTGCACCATATGAAAAAAATCCTGCAGAACTCAGTGCATGAGAAAAAAAAATCCGACCGTTTTTTTAATTAAAATGCCGACTTTGTGGTCTAATTTCATATAGCATTTATGGTTGTATTCTCGTTTTCTTGGTCTCATTTGATAGAATGGAAATATATTATAGAAATAGAGGTAATTTTGATTGGTTTTGCTGTGAAAAAACCTTGAGCTCAAAGTAGGGGAAATATTTGATTTTTGCCAATGTTCAAAGGTAAACAAATGTCATTTTCCAATAAATGTCCAAGTAGTCATTCTAATATGCAGTAATGAGTGGGTTGACATTATTTATGCAATTATTACAATTTTGCAGTAGTCTGCATAACAGTAAATCTTCTATTTTTTGTTTGAATAAAAATTCAAAATAGAAAGCAAGAGTAATATCAGAGGGGCCTGGAGATGTGACTGATGAACAAAGAAAATGTTATTTTAGAGTCAGGAATGTCTGCATTGTTCATTGTGGACCCTATTTTGAAATTGTCATATTTTTTAATTTTCGTAAAATTGGCCAAATTGCTGCAAATTTCTGACCACATTATTGGGTAGTTGAACTTGGTAAATGGGCAGTTTCTTGTGCTCAATCAATAGAAAAAAAATGGAGTTCTAAAGAAATAGCTATGAGTTTGGTCGACTGGAACAAAGGAATTAGCCAAAAATAGGGCTCAAATTGGGCGAAATCGCCAATTCGTAAATATCGCCGAGGTTGCTAACTTTGCGAGAGCGTAATTCCGTCAGTTTTCCATCAAATTTCATTCTTTGGGGTTATTACAATCAGGAAAAGATTCTCTATCATTTCATAAGAAAAAATAATTTTTTTTTTTTTTTGGAAATTTTGAGACACCAGGAGACACCTCAGGATTTGGGGTTGCGACAGTCAAGGGGTTAAGAAAAGTCCTTCCTACATCCTGATTAGAGCCTCATTACCTGATTTCCCTCTATTATACATAAGAGGCCCATGCTTCAATATGAAAAATGTATGGCAGAAAAAGAGCTAGTTGAAATATACTGTGGTACCTATCCTTGCAGCCTGTCTTTCACACCCACATGTATCACAGATTATTAAATTGCAGTTAAGCACCAAACTTATGTGGTTCATTCAGTGCTACACAACAAGGGTGAGATGGTACCGACAAGCCTCGCACAAAACTGGATGTACAGTATCAAAATAAAAAGTCAATCAAAACTATTTCTTCGCTAAGGTCACAACGTGTGTTTACATTTCATAATTTGATGGGTAAAAAGAAAGCCACTATCATGCTGAGGTATTTCTGGTAGACTTAACCTAATACTTAAAAACTACTTAAGTCTAGACAGGTAAAGAGTGGTAGATCACAAATATTCAATATTTTACTCTATTATTAACATGAGGCATGTAGCACAATTTATGATACAAACACATTTTTAAATTTCTAATAATGGCTTAATAGTTAAGGGATAATAAAATATTTGGGGGAGTTGCTTTAACCCGTAAACGGTCCAAACGTATATATACGTTTTTTCAACATTTGAAAGTATGTAAAAACAGTAGATCTTTTTGTTTTTCTACATTTGAAAATGTGTAAAAAAAACTTTGATCTACTTTTTTTTTTGTTACATTTGAAAATATGTAAAAAAAATGTAGATCTACTTTTGTAGCACTACGCATGTGAACGTAGATCTGCTTGGACCGTTTACGGGTTAAATTTGGTTATAGTTTAGCACAGTATGGGTATAGCTGTTATTGAGAGATGAGATGATTTTTTAATATAGTCCTAATTCGATTTGTGGGCAGGGGACCTCTTGCTGTTTCAGGCAAAGAGTTCCAGATCTTCAGATGCTTCATGAGCATTGGCATTTTGCATTGTGCGAGATGGATGTGTGGGATGTCAAAAAGTGTATTGTGCCTCATGTTATGCCTGTGTGTTCTGTTGAAAGTGTCTAGGTGAAGTTTGAGTGGAGGGTTCATACTGGAGTTTAATGTTCTGTATATATATTAGGCACAGTAATAAGTGTGTATATTTTGTATATTAAGTAAGTTCAAGGTTTTGAAGAGTGGTGGGGTGTGCTGTCTGGCGCAGGAGTTTGGGATCATCCACACTGCCATTTTTCGTTGGGTTATTAAAAGTTTAAGGTGACTGCTATGGTAGATCCCCAAGCACAGATACCACAGGTGAGGTAAGGGTATATTAGAAGGTGATATAAAGTAAGGAGTGCCTTTTGGAGTACATAGTATCTTAGTTATATGCTGGATGTGGGTTTGAAATATGTA